TGTCCGTCGCCAAGAGGGTCTCGGAGGAGTACGGTTGTCGCCTGGGCCAGGAGGTGAGAGCGAAGCCGCCTGTCGTGTGCACAATGCCCACCGGGTGGCAGCAGAGTACTTTTACTTTGAGGTTTGCAGCCCCAGAACTACAAATTCATAACATAAGGCTGCACCGTACAGACAAGTCCATTTGAATTAAATCAGTCCACTATTTTTTTTTTGCTACTCTCAATGACGGACAGCAGATAGTGTCCAAGCTCGGAAGAAATCTGAAGTCTTTTGTCAGTACTCCAAGTCCAACTGAGAGAAACTCCACTTCGAAGCTCTTTGTGTTGGGATTGTATTGTTGATATTGTGAGAGGAACCTTGATGACCTGCAAGGCCAACCGTTCCCAGTTTAAGTACATGCAATCCAATTTTTTTGTTGTTTTTATTTTGAGCGATGTCAATTCCAATCTCCCCTCTCCAGGTGACATCCTGGTGTTTTTGACCGGGCAGGAGGAGATCGACACGGCCTGCGAAATGCTCTTCGAGCGCATGCGGATGCTGGGCCCCGACGTTCCGCAGCTCATCATCCTTCCCGTCTATTCGGCGCTGCCCAGCGAGATGCAGACCAGGATCTTTGATCCGGCGCCACTCGGCAGCAGGAAAGTGAGCACAAACTACTCTCTGACACAATCGGGATGTTGTTTCATGGGCGGATTGTACAGCCTTACGTCAGCGGTTCATGCAACCCAGTACATCGGTTGAACACATGGGTGTTTTTGCTCGTGATTTTTTTTTGCTACTCTCAATGACGGGCAGCAGATGGTGTCCAAGCTCGGAAGAAATCTGAAGTCTTTGGTCAGTACTCCAAGTCCAAGAGTAGCTGAGAGAAACTCCACTTCTAAGCTCTTTGTGTTGGGATTGTATTGTTGATATTGTGAGAGGAACCTTGATGACCTGCAAGGCCAACCGTTCCCAGTTTAAGTACATGCAATCCAATTTTTTTGTTGTTTTTATTTTGAGCGATGTCAATTCCAATCTCCCCTCTCCAGGTGACATCCTGGTGTTTTTGACCGGGCAGGAGGAGATCGACACGGCCTGCGAAATGCTCTTCGAGCGCATGCGGATGCTGGGCCCCGACGTTCCGCAGCTCATCATCCTTCCCGTCTATTCGGCGCTGCCCAGCGAGATGCAGACCAGGATCTTTGATCCGGCGCCACTCGGCAGCAGGAAAGTGAGCACAAACTACTCTCTGACACAATCGGGATGTTGTTTCATGGGCGGATTGTACAGCCTTACGTCAGCGGTTCATGCAACCCAGTACATCGGTTGAACACATGGGTGTTTTTGCTCGTGATGCCGACCGCTAGGTGATCATCGCCACCAACATCGCCGAGACATCGCTGACCATCGACGGCATCTACTACGTGGTGGACCCCGGTTTCGTCAAACAAATTGTTTACAACTCCAAGTCAGGCATTGACCAGCTGGTGGTGACGCCCATCTCACAGGTTTGTCATCCTCTGGAAATGACACGAGATTTTGGAATAGATGCACTCTAAATAAGACCCCCGTCCTTCCACATCAACCTTAAAATGCATCTTGCAAATTTCCCTAGTGTGGGACAAATAAAGGTTATCTTATCTTAAAACATTTTTTTTTCCCCACTCCATACTCGTGTCGATAGGCCGCCCTCAAAATATTCACCGCAGCTCATCATCCTTCCCGTCTATTCGGCGCTGCCCAGCGAGATGCAGACCAGGATCTTTGATCCGGCGCCACTCGGCAGCAGGAAAGTGAGCACAAACTACTCTCTGACACAATCGGGATGTTGTTTCATGGGCGGATTGTACAGCCTTACGTCAGCGGTTCATGCAACCCAGTACATCGGTTGAACACATGGGAGTTTTTGCTCGTGATGCCGACCGCTAGGTGATCATCGCCACCAACATCGCCGAGACGTCGCTGACCATCGACGGCATCTACTACGTGGTGGACCCCGGTTTCGTCAAACAAATTGTTTACAACTCCAAGTCAGGCATCGATCAGCTGGTGGTGACGCCCATCTCGCAGGTTTGTCATCCTCTGGAAATGATACGCGATTTTGGAAAAGACGCACTCTAAATAATAGGACCCCCGCCCTTCCACATCACCCTTAAAATGCACCTTGCAAATTTCCCCAGTGTGGGACAAAGAAAGGAGGTTATCTTACTTTTTTTTTTCCCCGCTCCGTACTCGTGTCGATAGGCCGCCCTCAAAATATTCGCATTCACTCCATGCTAGCAGGTAAATGCTGTCGTATCATCCAGGCGCAGGCCAAGCAGCGTTCGGGCCGAGCGGGCAGGACGGGTCCCGGCAAGTGTTACCGCCTCTACACGGAGCGAGCGTACAGGGACGAGATGTTGACTTCCAACGTGCCGGAGATCCAGAGGACCAACCTGGCCAGCACCGTGCTCTCGCTCAAGGTACATGCGTGTTGTGACGTGGATGGAAAGGAAAACACATGTTCCGAAACGGCATGCAGCCTAGTACGGCATGATTCAAAATGTTCACCAGGCCATGGGCATCAACGACCTGCTGGCCTTCGACTTCATGGACTCTCCCCCCATGGAGACGCTGATCACGGCCATGGAGCAGCTGTACACTCTGGGCGCGCTGGACGACGAGGGCCTGCTCACGCGACTCGGAAGGAGGGTAAAGGCCTCCGCCGCCGCCGGAAGGTGGCTTCCTTGAGTGCGCGATGCGTTTTCTCCATTTTCTGACGCACGTCCGCCGGCGTCCCGTGCAGATGGCCGAATTCCCTCTGGAGCCCATGTTGTGCAAGATGTTGATCATGTCCGTGCATCTGGGCTGCAGTGAGGAGATGCTCACCATCGTCTCCATGTTGTCCGTGCAGAACGTCTTCTACAGGCCAAAGGTACAACATGCTCAACATGTGCGGAGGAAAAAAAAAACTCCCATCGCGTTGTAAACATTGTCAGATCGCATTGTGACCCCCCCCACCCAAAAAATCCTACATATATTTTTTTGTGTTACAAAGAATTGTGTCCCAACATTTTATGACTCCTTCCAAAATGTCAGACATGTTTTTTCAATTGATGAAATATCAACTTGCTCCATACGTCATGTCATAAGTCATGTAACAGGCTGCAAGTCTTTTTAAAAGTCAAGTCATATGATACGTCACATCTTCAAACTATCTGACTATAAATCATGTCATCCTAAAAGTGGAATCCAGTGACACATTTGCAAATCAGCTGTCGTGTGAGGGCTGTCAAAAATATTTTACGATAGAAATGACGTCAGTCCGCTCGTTATGCAATATTTTTGTTTTGCCGTAAAATATGTCACGCTCAAATTGCCCCGAAGGTGGCAGAAGCAGAAAACGTGTGCGGCGTCTTCCGTTGGCAGGACAAGCAGATCCAGGCGGACCAGAGGAAGGCCAAATTCTTCCAGCCCGAAGGCGACCATCTCACCCTGCTGGCCGTCTTCAACTCGTGGAAGAACAACAAGTTCTCCGGCCCCTGGTGCTTCGAGAACTTCATCCAGGGGCGCTCGCTCAAGAGAGCGCAGGACATCCGCAAGCAGATGATGAGCATCATGGACAGGTGAAGCGCCGCAAGCTCATTCCGTCGGCCAGGGGGACGCTCAAAATGCCCGCTTTTCGACGTCCGTTCCACAGACACAAGCTGGACGTGGTGTCTTGCGGCAAGTCGACCATGCGCGTCCAGAAGGCCATCTGCAGCGGTTTCTTCCGCAACGCCGCCAGGAAGCACCCCCAAGACGGCTACCGTACCCTCATCGACCAGCAGGTGGTGTACCTCCACCCGTCCAGCACGCTCTTCAACCGCCAGCCGGAATGGTAAGTTAGCATCAAGGTTAGAAAAGGTTGCTTTGGGGGGGGGGGGGTTTCTTTCCCTCCATCAGTTGAAGTGTTTTGACTCTTGAAAACGTTTCATTTGAGTTTTTGTGAGTATGTATGGCCTGCTTAATGAGTGCAAATTAAAAACGACAATTGTCAAAGCACACCATTTTGTTAGTTTTCATGAATTGTAATAACCTTGGTTAGCACGAGCACATCGGCGCTTTGGACTTGTGACACAGCGGTTGCTTTGAATGCTGATGATGGCGCCGCGATTGTCCAGGCTCGTCTACCACGAGCTGGTGCTGACCACCAAGGAGTACATGCGCGAGGTGACCACCATCGACCCTCGCTGGCTGGTGGAGTTTGCGCCCGCTTTCTTCAAGGTGTCCGACCCGACGCGCCTCAGCAAGCAGAAGAAGCAGCAGCGCCTGGAGCCTCTCTACAACCGCTACGAGGAGCCCAACGCCTGGAGGATCTCCAGAGCCTTTAGGCGACGCTGACCACTTTTTTGCCAGGGTAGTCGCTATGCTGACTTGACACTTGACACTTTTTATTCCGGTCTGGAATTTTTTTTTTTTTTTTAATGACAGTAAATTTATGTTTGTGAGAAAATGTTTGTCAGGAGTAAAAAACATGGATGGCATCCAAAAAGGTTCCTTTTTTTTCTGTGAATAGTAATTTGTGATGGTTCTTTCAGTCTATAAAATGAGATACTGACAAGAAAATCTTTGAGCTCACTTGAAAAGGTGAACCGTCGACTGGAACCGACTGCAGCAGCAGGTCCAGCTCCCGAAACTCTGGACGTCTTCAAAATGGAGATGCATGCAAACACCACAAACGAGGGACAAGTCAAGCTGCCATCTAGTAGGTTGATTTGCATGTCACCGTTTGAGATGTCGGCAGGTTTGAGGCCCTTCTGCACGTTTATGTCGAATTAGTCTTTGCCCAGCAGGTGGAGAGTCCAGTATGGCACTCTTCCGGGAAGCTGCATTGCAGGCAGATTCACAGGGGGGAAAAAAAAAAAGGAACTGCTAAGTCTCAGAGCCATGCCTCAAAAGACTCATTTGGGCCGTCTGTTGAAGAGTCTGCAGACTGGAAAAAAAGAATAAATGCAGAGAGAACAGATTTAGTCTCTTTCAAAATGACACCTTGCTTCCAGAAACACGGCAATCTTGACATTTTCGGACCGTTCTGTTGAGGGTGCAAGCCTGTCAACAGGAGGAGGTTGGCTCGGATTGGCCGATTGACGTTAGGCTAGCAAATGAATTGGAGTCAGGTGTGCGGGAGGGAATTTAATCGAGCGCGGTGCACAGCTGCGGCAAGATTGCCACGAGGGCTTTTATTCAGTGAGTGAGCACACGAGCAAATGTTTGTCGCCCTTTCTTATGATGTTATTTTGCATGTTGCCCGATTTGCAGCGTTGGAGGACTTCAAAATCCATTCGCCTTTTGCTTGACACAGTACATTGTCGTCTTTGTTCCTTTTGCCACGTTTTCAAATGTTTTTGGTTTATTTTCGAGCTGGCCAGCTCTTTTCTTTTCAATTGTTGCAAATTACAAAACCGATGTCTTTGTGCTTGGGAGTTGAACTATGAAGGGTTGTTTGTTTGAATATGCTGTATTTTCTGTCAGGTGGTCTGCATTTTTTTTGTTTTTCAAATTTACAGGTCTGGTTTGATAACGTTGACTCTCATGGTCAAAAATGTTCCTTTTTTTGGGGGTGGGGGGGCGCGCTCCTCAATCCCAATATGAGGTCATCTGTTGCAGCTGAGTCAACAATGTCCTTTAATCTTCTGTCAATGTGATTTAGTCTCATCTTTGATGCTGATTTTCACAAATTAACATTTTCAGCCCTTTCTGCTCCAAATATAGCCCAAAGTACGTTTTTAATCGTCCCCTTGCAGGCTGCGGGAGGCACCAAGATCCATCAGACGAAAGTCGGAAAACCCATGGTTTGAGAAGTGAAAAATTGCAGAAGTGTTTTTTTTTTTTCTTCTTCTTCCGGTGTGAAGTAGCTATTTAGGACAGGATACACCACAGAAGCAGAGCAGTATGAAGACTAGAACTGGACAAAAGCAGTCTGTGCGTTTTGTCGGGTGGAAGAGGATCCTGATGAATTGGAAGAGCGTGCAGAGGTAACAAAACACGTTGAAATTGAATTAACAAGGGGCACCTGCAAAGATGTTCTTTTTTTTGGGGGGGGGGGTGTTTGCAGGACTCACATGGAGCCGAATGGGGGTGAGAACAAGGAGCAGTTCCGCAAGCGGCGCAATGATGAGGATCATCTGTCCGCAGGCTGCCTGAAAATGCTGAACAGGAGGGGCCAGGGGATTGAGCTTTGCGGTGTGCCTCGGTTAAGCATAGTCACTGTGGGTTGATCTGATGGTAACGGTGGCAGTCGCGGGCGGTGCGTTTGGAGCCGGCGGTGGAACCCGTGTCTTTGTGCGCACTCGAGTGCTCTTTGGCAAGGCGTGCTGGAGATGGTCAGCGAGTTGTTTGGCTTGTCTGGATTCAGAGAAACTTTGTGGCGTTTGTCAGTTGGGAAGCTGCTTTGTGGGCGAGAGTGTAGGCAGGGTTGGAGAAAGGGCTCTGTCACACCGTCAAGGAAAAACATTTTGTTTGTTTGTCTGTGTTTCAGGGTCGCGCAGGCACCGGACCGCATGAGGGGGGTCGCAAGAGGATATCTTGCACCAGGGTGATGTGTACATCACAAATTAGCTGACGGGCACACCACGAACATGAGTTTTCTTTTTCCAGTTGCGTGCGGTGGACAAAGCCTCAAACTGTCAAGTACGCGAAGCCAACAAATGTCATTTGCTGAATTGTTTTTTTTTATTTAAGTGAAACACCAGAGCCATCGAACTCGCCGCCTTCCTGTCCAGTTGGATCCCAGGTAAACTCCAGCCACCACCTAAAATTCTTCAGGCGATTTTGTCAGCGTCGCACCCCTCCATTTTTGACCCGAGTTTTTTGTCTCAAATGGTGCAGGCCGAGATGGTCGGCGTGGCGCCGCTGCGGCTGGATGTGGCCGTCGATGACAACCTAGGACACGGCATTTCGGCGGTTTTATCCTCGGCCGTCGAGTGGATGGTCATCTGAGTGCTGTACCTGAGACGGACGAACGGCCCAAGGTCCCGACGAAGAGTCTGATGGGGCGCTTCCCACCTTCGCTACTCAGACTGATGGGGCGCTTCCGACCTTCGCTACTCAGACTCCCACTGACGCAGCCGTCTCACACGCGCCCGATAGGCCGCCGGTGAGCCTGCGGTTGACTTCAACCACGACGAGTCGTGTGATTGTCTGTTTTTTGTTGTTGTTGTTGTTCTGTCACTCTTAAATTGCTGACAAGCTTACGCTGCAAGTCATGAAGGGAGAATCATGACTTGCAGCGTCAGAATCACCCAAGTGAAAAATGCACAACTGATGGGACTCTCGGGCGACATTTGTGTTCTTGTGTATAGAGGTAAGATCGGGCCCTAAAATGTCAATCGTTGGTTTGGGTCGGGTTGGGCTTCTCTCTCGCTGACTTTTTTAAAAATAAATGTATACTAAAATGATGCTAAATGAAGGAAGACTTGTTTTAAAGTTTTAAAGCAAACAATTTGGATAAAGTGGAGAAGGCGCTGTAATGTAATTGCAATCTAACTACTAAACAGGAGCGCGGATGGCCAGACGCTGAGCATGCACTGCGCACGTGTCGCACCAAATTACAGACAACGAAAATTGAAACTTTGATGTTAAATTTGGTTCAAACAAAACGATAGAAATAATTTCATCTATCTTGACCTATTTATTTGATTTGAATTCTATTTAAAGCCCAGTGGGCTGCAGGATTTCTCTGCGTAATGAAGCAAATGCGCATCAAGGTCTCTCTGTCTGGCCTCTTCTGTGTTTCAGCGTTATTTCGTTGTGCAAATGCATTTATCACGTTCATTTAAATAGGTAGATTATTTTAACATGAAGAAATCTTGCTTTTTTTTTCTGCCCAAAAATACTCACAAATAAAATCAAGTTCATTGGCCGGGTTGGGCTTGAATAGCCTCGGGTCGGCGCGATTTCCCCCCCCCTTCGGACAGATCTTACCTCTACTTGTGGATGCAATTCATTTTTCTTTTCTGCAAGCGAAGCTTTGTGTTTGGCTTTTTTCCCCCCCCTCCCCTTTGGAAGCCAGCGTGACGTCTCGACCCCTGTGCTCTTCCCGGCCAGCTCCGTCCAGAGCGGGGTCTGGAGAAATCAATTCCACGTGTACAAGAACAAAAGTTTTCATCTCTTTGAGTGTCCGTGCGCCATTTCCTGGTCTCTGTTGCTTCTCTGAGCCATCGTTTGTTTATTTGTGTTGTTCCGCTCCAGTAATGTTTGCATTGTCCCGGTCCGTGATCTGATTCTCCCATCGGCAGCGGTCCGATGTGGGTTTTGGTGATCCTTTTTGAGCTTTTCCCGTTTGGCCCTTTTCTCTTGTGGACACTTTGCAGGCGGGATGGGCGTCGCCGACCAATCGGCGCGCACGCTTCTTTTGTTGCATTTCTATACTTGCAGGGGCAAAGAGGAGCCGTTTGGCACGCCAAACAAGTGGAACAGGGGTGAGTGAGAGAAGAAAACCCAAGCGGCAGTCTCCAAAA